CTTTTTACAGTAGCTTAACACATTGTTCACATGAAACTTTTAGTTATTTCTCATGTCTTCTCTAAAGCTTTGGACTTTTTTTCATGAAACATTTATGAGGATTCAGGGATACATACTACTAAGGATTTAGATTTAGACGTTAGATTTTCATCTTATATTAGGTTGCAAAATACAGAAAAAATGCTTTGTAGGCAAATATGAGCGTTGCACAGGTACAATCTTTGGTCCTTTATTATTTTTAAGCTACTTTCATGAATCACCAATGATCCGTAGCCGACCAGTTAAGAACTACTGCTGTTCACAAGACGGTACTGATTACAATGCTTATGTATGACAGCGGGAGCTAGATATGTCAAAGAAAGCATGTAAGTAAATAGAATAAAGGGGAAAGCTATGTAAATCTCATAGACTGCGTTCGAAATGAAGACATCATTATTAGGTCTTTACATATGAAATTGGTGTTTGGTATGGGAGGAATAAAAATTCGAATATTTTAAAGTATAACATATTTATTTAATCAAAGTATAAATCTATGCACTTTTGCCGCCTCATAGGTAGTTCATTGATCCCGTAACTAAAAAAACCATTCGGACGGGTATCAAAAAAATTTTTGAAGGCGATTTGCACTGCCCCATCGGAGTTGATTTTTTCCCTTGCAAGAAGTTATCTAAATTTCTAAAAAATAATTGGTAATCAGTTGGAGCAAGGTTCGGGGAGTGCGGTAGATGTCTTAGGCATTCCAATAAAAGCTCTTCTAATTTGATAGTCGTCTGTTGTGCAGTGTGTGGTCTAGCGTTGTCGTGAAGTAGCAGTGGCGTAGAGCAGTTGACCAGCCTCGGTTGTTTAACAGCTAGTTTTTCCAGCATGGTTTGCAATTGCTGACAATAGTCGTCTGCCATAATCGTCTGGCCACATTTAAGAAAACTGTAATGAATGACATCGTCACTAGTCCACCAAACGCTTACAAGAAACTTTTTTAGGGTCAATTTTCGCTTGGGGCAGGATTTGGCTGGCATGCCAGGGTCAACCATTGCGATGAGCGCTTCCGATTATCGTAGAGAATCCAATTTTCATCATAGGTAATGGTTCGATTTAAAAACCCTTCATTATTGTGGCGGTTAAGTAATGTAACGCAGCAGTCGAAGCGCGTTTGCCAGTTTACTTCACTCAATTTTTAAGGTACCCACCTTTCAAGCTTTTTAATCTTTCCAATTTGCTTCAAATGTATTAAACCAGTTGTATCATTAACACCGTAGCTTAGTTAGTTGCAGCTAACTCGGATCCGCTTCCACGATAGCCTTCAATTCTTCATTATTAACTTGGGTCTGCGGCCGTCCACGGGGCTTGTTCTACAGGTCAAAATTCCTAGAACGAAAACGTTGGAACCATAAACGCACTGTGTTTTCTTTTGCGACACAACCGCCATATACATCATTAACCTTTCGAGCCATTTCCGCAGCACTGGTACCATGTTGGAACTCATACTCGTAAATAATATGATACTTCAAGTTTTCCATTTTTTATACTGGGTGACGTAAATAGGACAAACATAAGAAAAAAAAAACAAATGAATGCCGCCTAACGAAACACAAATACATGTGTAAATGGCTGTATAAATTTTTATTTGGAATTCTCAACCAAGGAGGAGAAATTTGTGATTATAGTGGCCAGTACGACAAAACGACAATTTCATGTGTAAGGACCTAATATTTGTATTAATTAATGTAAAGTACATATATAGTTTGAAGTATAGCTATACTTGCTATATACTGTATCGCTTTATTGTTGCGGATTACGTTAACTAACTTAATTACTTAACACGTGTAGTGGGCTTGGGCGTAACTTACATTTTTGTTCATAATCATTACAATATTCGAGATATAGTATGAGCCAGATTATTTAGTTTACCTAAACATTGTTGGATATATACTGACTAATAACGAAATCAACAAGTTTCATTAATTTTATACGCCTTTTTAGACTGAGTAAATTAATGATATCTATTAATAATGACTATCTTCAATCGACCATTGAACAGTTAAAACATATTTATTTTAATAATAATATTTCATATCATAGATTATTACTATGGTCACTTTGACAGGTGATTTCTATTCAGCATGTACTTGTGAATAAACAACAAACAACTGTCATGAATTTGTTATTGTTTTTTTGAATATTATGGATTTTTACTTCGTCTCGTTTGATGTATAAAATACATTTTGAACTTTTACTGTTTTAAAATTGATTTTGTGTTGATTTGTTAATTATTAATAGGGTTAACAAGACTTCATTTGGTACCGACTTATTTTCTACATTGCATGGGATGTGAGAGAAATAGGGCGCAGGAAGTGATGTTTCGTGAAACACGTGAGACGTGGAAGTAGGATTAATGTCGTAGTTTGCGAAGGAGGCTTTGCTCGATGACCTGCAATCTTCACACTAATGTCTGCCACTACTTCTTAGGATGTATTATTGCTTTTTAAGATAGTGTCGAAGAATACTAACAAGTCTGTAGAAATATAAAAATAGTAACTTATTTGCGAGACCAACAGACGTAGACTTATGTATAAGGTAGAGTTTATTTCACGTTAAATGAAAGTCTAGACCCAACCCTTTTAATAATGTCACCGTGTAATCGCGTAAATTTTGTTTTTTTTTTTCTCTGTGAGTCTGAATTCAAAGGATTGTTCATGCAATTCGAAAAGGATTCATTATGTAGTGCAATTCTGCTAATTTGGTGTAATTAATCATGGAAAGTCTATTAAAGTTTATGATACAGTTCTTGTTACTAGAATATAAATTAGAAAATATATCTGTGCCCATTCATTGGTCAATAAGACATTGCAATAATAATTTTGGACTTCAGGTAGATAGTACATTGAAATAAAATACAAGTTTTATTATATGTGAGATTCGAGTTTAGATTAGATCTATCGAGCTGATTTAAAAACACGAGTAGAATAAATTTGAAAGCACATATTTCAACTGAATATTTATAATAAATTTCGGTTTCTGACCGCGGTGTCTTGAACTAGCGAATATAACACTAGGACGTTATGGGGTAGTCCTAATTTACTAACGACCATACGAGCGAGCTACGCGATGTGATCGTGGAATGTAAATGTTTCAAAAGTTGTCTCAATACATTATAAAATTAGCAACTACTGTGCTCATTTTATAACCCTCAATAGAGATCTTTTGATTTCTTTCTTTCAATAAGTCTGTAAGCTAGCGTACTGAAGCAGGGACAAAATAACATTTCTCAATTTGGAGGAAATTGTTTTTAAATTTTGTATCTGTGGCGAACAAGCCTACTGAAAATTATTTATTCGTTATTTATGGTTAGTTTTAGAACTGTAAAAGCGGCGGGTGTTTTTGATTAGGCAGAATTAAATTTTGGTGAAAAAAGAATAAAAAAAGTACTGGCTCAGTATTTATTTTATACTGCATTATATTAGGTTTTCACATTCAAAGTGAAAAGTAGAGTGAGAACACATGCCTCTAAAATCCCGAAACCAATATATACTGAGCTATTTTCTGCCTCTTTTATTAATTATTTACAATTGGCGTTGATTGTTTAATTAATTCAACCGTCTGATTCTTGTTAACCAGTCCTAGTATTTGTGCTGTTATCTTACATATACGAGCTTTACGAACTCTGAAGATTTCGTCGTAGAAAAAATAGTACGTTAGCTCGAATCAATTAGGAAATCACCTTACAAAGAGTCAAGTACAGTGTGTGCGTGGTGTAATCCGGACGACCTCAACAGGAGCGCGCCATGAGGATTAATATTTTGATTAGGCCCTTTGAGACTCGGCGCTATAGATTACTGTCGGTTCCTTTTTTAAAATGCCCGTTTTATTTCGCCCCTTCATTCGCATGCCGATCACGTAAATTCGTACGATTTTTCCTCACTTCCTATCGTTAGAGGAAAATTGAAACACGCATGTGATATAAAAATGAAATTATAGACGTCTTATAGGAAACAAGCAAAAGTAAATACTATCCGCTTGTGAAACGAGAAGATATGTTTAAAATGTAATAACGTAAAAATGCACGAGTAAGATATATAATACATCGACAGATATTGGCAGTACGGTTTATAATCCGTGGTATTTTCTATGGACCACAGAGTGAAAAAAAAACTCTTTATTATCTTTATAACACTTTTTAGCATATGATCTATATATAAATAGATAAAGAAATAAATCACCATCTGCCAGTTGCACAAAATTAGTTTAAAGCGTCATTACCCATACAAATTCGACATTCATTAGAGCTTAAAGACGTCATTAAACCTTAATAGACGTTTGTGCAACTGAACAAATAAATAACAAAAAAAAACACATATTTGGATAAGCAACTATTGAGATTACTTGGGAGGATGCGAAATGTGAGTGGTTCCCGTGTAATAATTCCAACCTGGAGCAAACTTATTCACTTATGCTATTTGTTCACATTATCTGTTCTAGAAAACAATTCACGATTTATATGTATTGAATGGAATATACCCAGAAGGTATTATGTTTGCAATGATTGCTCGTTCCCATACCTATAGCGGCGTGGCGGCCAGGGTTGGCGGTTAGCTCGTGTACACGTTGGCCGGAAGGCGTATGCGTGACTGTAATTACTGTATTTACTTTGATAAATTTGAGTTCTAGCCTGAACAGATCGTTGACAAACTTTTATGTATTCAACGACACGGTGAAAACCACATGAACAACATCTAACGTTAGATAATTCAGAGAGCGCTGCACGCGCCAGTCGCTGGCTCGACCGCTACTTTACCCGCATCTGAGTTATGATCATACACACTTCCATATTACGCTGTGTTTGATATTTAGTGCCCACGCCTGCCACCGAGAGTTAGCGTTGCAGTCGCCTACAACACAAGTCGAGATGACTTTTTTATAATTATTTTATTTTTATTGATTATGTAATGGTTTGTTTTCAATAAATATTAGTTAAGTGAACTGAATGTAGAGCATATACATACCTTTGATGAGATGGGCGGCGAGCACGAGCGCGGCGGTGAAGGCGTGCACGCGCCACGCGCAGCCGCACATCCTGCACCGACCGCTCTCTGCAACCACGACAAGAGAACACCCGCGTTATATGTATTATACTTCTATAAAATCTTCCCACTTTATTAAACATTATTAGTAGATAGCCTATTTTGTTAGTAATTGATAATTCAGTTTAATATTGGTGAAAGAATTCTTTTAACCAAATCTTTTTATAATAATTGTGTGTTACATTACAGAGTTATGTACGATAAAACTGTCCTATTAGACTGCAGTTGTAATTTTAAAAAATTGGATTGCTATTATACGTTGCCGAATCTACAAAGAAAAATATTTTTACACAAAAAACATAGAAATCCTAATTCAGAATAGGGAATCCTTTTTGTGCTTCAGAATACTCTGGTGGTACTCTATCTGGTGAGTAATTAGCGCGGAGAGAGAGCAGGTCGACCCGATGGTAGATGTGTTTGAACTGCCCGTTAATGTAAACATACGTCGTTAGCGACAAAAAATAGAGTACCATGATCTGGTCTCTCTCATGTCTTCCTTATTTTATTGATAAAAGTCTATGGAAAGAATAAAAATCTCTGAGTGAAGTATGCGTTTAATTAATAGTACACAATTAATTCACCTTTACAGCGATCCCAATAATTAACATTAGCATCAGAATAATCAAAAATATATAAACATAGTAAACTATACAGTTCGTAATCCAACACGAGCACTTCGCGTGGTGTTTATAGAACAAAACATTTGAACGCTTCCTCCGCACAAATTCTGATCGCGTGCTGTCGAACCATCTAGTAAATTATATTTGACCAACACGCCACAGATAAGCTGTTCAAAATTAAAACTCGATGGAAACTGCAACTTGGCCCCGCTATGATTGTTAGCTATATTTGATCCATTTCCAATGTGAAAGAGCTTAAATCTGACATTGCCGTTTCTTACGAAACAATAATATATTGAAATAGAATGAATTATATATAAAAGGAGATGTCCTGACATAACGAATGATAGACAACGCATAGCCTAAGCCGCTGGTTGTATAGACTGGAAATTTGGAGGGTACATATTTATAATTCTTTTTCATCACACGTTACTAATCGGTTCAACATCTCTCTATATCGATACAATTTTATCAAGGTAAGGCAATCTTCTACATATTCGGGAAAATGACTTTCTTCAAGTTTTTTTAAATTTCAATCTTATAGATCTACTAACGTTAATTCTTACTTATGCTTAAATTCTTTTTTGAAGTTTATTTTTAACAGATCCCTATTGTGGAATATCCGCGGCAGTTATCATTACATAATTATAATATTATATAAATTTAATAATGTGCAACCATAAGGGTTGGTGCGAGTGTTTCATGTCTAAAACTACTTTTATACTAAGTCTCATCTCTATCGGTGTAACAAAGGTTCAGCGGTGACAAATTAACCGTTAGAAGAAGTTGATTTTTTAACATCTATCATATTTTTATCAGCTTTTATAACATCTATTATAATTAATAACATTAGAATGGACGTACACGTTCTGTAACTTACAATACATATTAAATGAGAAAATGAAATACAGATTCCATTTATCTCTTAACTCTAACTATCTCTGCTACTGGCTGCTCCTTTACATGAAGTTTGTAACTTAATTCAGTGAACTCAAACAGGTAAACGAGAAATCGGAGTGAGGGAGCCGATAACTTTGTCGGATGTACTTCTTGGCGTCATTTAGCTGCCAAACCTCAAAATAGACGGTCTATCTAGACGAATGATTAAATGATTATTATTATGTTGTTATATATGGCAGAAAAATTTTATCCAAAAAAAAATATTATATTTCAAAACTCTTTACTCAATTATTATGAAAAGTAAAAAATGCAGTAAGTTTTTCCTAACAAAGCACCAACTAGATAAGTAATTAAAACACAAACTGTTAATTGATGACTTGGAAATGCTTACAAATTGCAAATGACAAAAGTATGATAACGACACAGCGAGTAAATTGTGACACGCGAACAATTTGTGTGCGCAATTTAAACAATACATGCAAATAATCCTGTACGAGCGTCGAACGATTAATTGAAAAATGCTTGTTAAAACTGGCGCAGTGAAATATAACCATTCCAGTTTGATTTATACGCGGCAGTCCTTCATAAAGAGGGCAGCGTGCCGCGACCGGCCGTCTAATATGTATGTACATATAATACAAGTAGCAGTCGCGTCCGCCACCAACACAGAGAACTAAACATGTGATCTGTTGTCACCACTTTCGTAAAATTCAATAAAACGACGGATCAAGAAGGCCGTTACATATTATTAACGATTAATATGAAGCTAGTAATAATAGTGGTTCTATTTAAACGTTGCGGTGGTTTGGCTCGACTCTTTGAACGATAAATGAATGTTCAAACGAAAACTTAATTTATAAACACCAAGAGTATTATGGTTAACGATTTTTTAGTGTATAGTGCCTTATTTATGAAAGTTGACGTTAGCTACATATTTAGGCTTTGCCAGCACAGACAGAGCCTTAACATGGTAGCTCTACACTTATTAATTATTACCATGTAGTAAATTTGGTACACGCAAGATCTACCAAGAGTAGTGGTTGGTTGTTGTTAATACTATATAAGTACCGCTTGTAAATTATAACTTATACTATCTTAGTGTATTGCAGCCAAAAAGTATAAGTGATATTTTTTTTTATGATCGGATCACTACAAAAACAAAATTATAAATTTAATCTCTTTATATGAGTCATTGTGAACGATAGAACGCTTAAATGGTTAGTTAAAAATGTCGCGTTACCATATCGGCATGATGGTTGTCCATTAGGTATGTACTATCGCCCGCCGCCCGATACGGAACCACTTATCGATGGGGAGATCTATGGCGGCGCGGGAACATCGTCCACGATCGGAGATAGAAGAGAGCGATATTGTGTTTGTCGTAAAACTTACGTGCAAGTAACGTTGATTTCAGTGCGTTATTGCATTGCGTACCTGCCCATACCCATACCTATACTGGTACATATATATTTAGAGGATGAATTCGTGACTCCAAGACATCAGATAGTAATTATGAATATCTGTTCGATTAGGCAAAACAACTGCAAACACTTCATATCTAAATCCATAGGCATTCTCGGTAGCCGAAGACTATGTGGACAGGTGGGGACAAAGAAACTTTGATTAATTCAAATTTTTACTTTGTGATTAATTTTGATTTGTGGTAATAATTGTGACTGCGATATTCTCCACTATTGTGTAATAATTAAGGATCATTATTATTTTTTAAATTTGAACATTAAAATTTGTACTTGTGTTCATATTTGATAAACAAACAAACTTAATAAATATCGATGGTAATATTACCCTCGTACAGTTTGCGAGCAGGTTGATTGCGCAGAGTTTAATGCGTTCGGTTCGCGATATGGAGATTAAGCCATTTTCGCAAGGGCCAGTTATGGGATAGTTGACCAAAAATGTATTATTCCGAGAAAAACCGTTATCCCTAATCAATTTGAAAAAATTTCATCCATAGACAAAGCGCATGCCCCAGCAGCGGAGACGATAATAGGCTGATGATGATGATAGTGATGATTTAACATACCTCAAGGATATAATAAGCAGTCAACACAATTTTTGGTTTCATTCTGAGTATTTAAAAAAATATTTAATTCAAGATCAATGGTATAATATAACTAGGATTGTTGTTTCGCCCAAGTTTATATCGACATAATCAGCTATTTACTTGAAGATTTGAATTTCAATATCTATGTTATTTCTTGATATAGAACTGCCCCTAAAATTAGATACGAGCACGCGGTATATCTGTACTAAATGTGAGGCGAATACTTTAAGATCCTCTACACCGTGTTTTAGTCACTTCTGATCTCCAACAAATCCGTTTAATTCCTAAGAGACGGGATCAAATAATAGGTGGGATTTAGAAGTAGATCCGTTTCAGTTTTGACTTTTATTAGAAGCGAATTTAACCTTCTTGATTACTGCGACATGTGTGTACTTGTTATTTTTTTATAAATTGCGATATTTGTGACAAATGAATTGATTCATCTTAAGAAATTCATGAATGTAAATGTTTAAAAGTTGTTTCATTTATGATTAGTTAAAATATGAGAAATCATTAATGAGAACCATTATGGTATTAGAGTAATTCGAAACTTTAATTTACATTCATTATTACCACAAATCATTCATCGATAAATTTAACTTTATTATAATTGACTTGTATTATATATATATAATACAAGTCAATTATAATATATATATATAATATATAAGAAGATGACGATATAGTATTATAGGACTAGCCGTCTAATTCTAACTCATGTTTTTCTATAAGTCCACAAAATCTCCTCAACTTAAAGTCGAAAAAAAATCAGCTGTGAGTTTAAAGCTGTCAAAGTAATTGTGATTTATATTCCTCTAACGGTCGGTTTTTGAATTGAGAAAAGCACAAAATCTCAACTGATTATTCTCAATAACTTAAGTTTTTTACGTTTCATATGACAAAAAGTCCTAGTTTTATTAAATTGCTATCAACTGATTATTAAAAAAATATAAATCAGTAATGAAAACTTGTTTAATTGACGTTTAAAATGGCTTACGCACAGTTTGAGACATGCTCAATTACAAATTCTCAATTCAGAAACCGGGTGTTAGTGTATTTATTTTGGTACTATCTGGTAATTAGGAGCTTCCAAGGGAGCTGCTCTTAACTGCTGCATCTCAATAAGTGTTTTTTTATATGTCAGAATTACTTTTGGATTACTTTTGATATAAAAGTATTAATAGGACTATAAGAATTCCATGCCTATAAGACAATACAGCTAAACGTATATGGTATAAATAAATACTCGTACATATTGGTCTAAAATAAAATATTAAAATACAATAACTTTTATCTACTCATAACACACATTGCAAATTATCTAAAACTTCCTATATGCCTAAAAAGTTGCTTTTCAATTTGTCACGAAATCAGGATTTATAAAACAAATAGTTACTACATTATGTT